AATTAAAATTGACAATGACATTTTTTTAAAAAAATTAAAATTAAAATTAACAGTGCTCAATAATTTGTTTTGTTCAGGCCAGGCTGGCTTGCTGGTTGATTGTTCCCACTGTCAGGAAATTTCTCCTTCTTCAGTTTCCATCCATGGTTCCTTGTCTGGCCTTCAGGTGCTTTGGAAAATAGCTTGACCCCTCCTCCCTGTGGCAGCCCCTCAAATATTGAAACACTGCTCTCATGTCTCCCCTGACCCTTCTCTTCACTAGACTAGACATGCTCAGTTCCTGCAACTGTTCTTCCTGTGTTTTAGCCTCCAGTCCCCTAATCATCTTGGTTGCTCTTCTCTGCACTCTTTCCAGAGTCTCAACATATTTATTGTAGTGTGGTGACCAAAACTGGATGCAGTACTTTAGGGATAACTGCAGCTCTTAACTCCCCTTTTTTTTCCCAGGAATATTTGAACAAACACCAGAACTGGGTGTCAGGCCTGTCACAGCACACAGGGCTGGCCATGGCAACCGAGAGCATTCTCCACTTCGCAGGCTACAACAGGCAGAACACCACACTAGGGGTAAGTTCTCTTCACTGTGGCCACTGTCCTGTTTTTCAACCCCCACTTCTGCAGGAGTGGCTTGTGCACAGCCCCTGTTTGTAGGTATACAGCTTGCTGTTTTCTTACAGACGTTTCATAACCCAATTGGGGAACATCATCAATATTAGAAGGGAGGGAAGGAGGGGCCAAGAAGGACTGTGGGGGTGCTTGGTGCTCTCTGAGCTTAGTTGTTTTCTTGCAGATGTTCCATTACCCTGCTAGGGAACATCATCAGTGCTAGAAGGGAGTGGGGAGAGGAGGAGGAGGAAGAAGAAGGGGAGGAAGAGAAGGACTGTGGGGTTGCTTGGTGCTTTCTGAGCTTGGTTGTTTTCTTGCAGACGTTTCATAACCTAACTAGGTAACATTATCAGTGCAAGAGTATGTGGGGTTTGCTTGCTGTTTTTATATAGTGGCTTACCTTGCCAGGGTTGGTGGATTTGTGCTTCTTTCCTGGGTAGGTAGAAAGAGTTTTGGTAGGAAAAAAAAAACCCTAAATTTTTCCTTGGTGGGAGAAAGCCATACCCAGTAGCCCTGATGATGTGACCTAGTTTGGTCATGAAACGTCTTAAAGAAAACCACCAAGCTCGGAGAGAAGTCTACAAAATGATACCCAATAGGCAAAATCTGAGCTTCCAGGTCTTCAATCGTTTTCTTAGCCATTCTGCCGTTCTCTTTCATCAAAAGGGTGGGGTAACAATGCGGGGGGGTGGGAGAGGGACCAGGATTTAGTTTATAAATCCAAAGTACCTGTTGTGGCCCATCAGCGGTCAGCAGAGCTAGCAGCAGATATGGAGAGTTGGGGAGGAAGATGGGCCAGTCCTGGAGTTTGGGGAAGGCTCTGATGAGGGCTCTGTGTCGGAGGCAGAGAGGGGGCCAGGGCCATCTGACAGNCTTCACTAAACCAGCCACTCCCATAATTCCTGCAACCGTTCGTCGTATGTTTTAGCCTCCGGTCCCTTCATCATCCTGGTTGCTCTTCTCTGCACTCTTTCTAGAGTCTCTGCATCTTTTTTTGATAGTGTGGTGAGCAAAACCACCCTATATTGGGTGATTCGTTCCAACATCCTTCCAGAGGTTCAGATTTCAATTCTTCACAGCTGTTGTTTGCTGGGAATTATGGGAGATGGCATCCCACTGGATCTTCTCTACACTCCCCATTGCCTGCCTGCCTTCTCGCTTGTCTGGCTCTTTTCCGAAATCCAGAGATATCTCCATGAGCCAGATAAAATAGGAAACCAGGCATCATGTGCCTAGCTGTGGCCGCCATGTTGACGTTTTTGACCTCTCTGCTTGATGAAGACCCCTGGAATCAAAGCCAACTCACCTTAAAGTCCTGTCCAGGCTGGAAAGGGTTAAAGGGCACATCCCTTTCCTCAGGACCCCAGCTGCCATTCAGAAAACTGTTGCGCACGACAGTTTGCTCTTGCATGCGTGGATTGATGTGCAGAGCGATATCCTGGCCAGCCTTAAGATTGATGCAGAACCTTGGAAAGAGAGAGGGGGGGAAAAGCGAGCATAAAGACTATTGAATGAAAATCTGATTATTCCCCCCTCCCCCTTATCCAGTAAGATGCTTCCATGGGTAAGAGGGGGGGGAAACAGCTCTTGTTCTCCTTTGCAAATATTATTTATTGTTAGCCTCCTCCTTTATGTGTAAGTTCATTTAGCATTTTTTGGTATTTATTCATTGTAGTTAGCTCCTGCCTCACCCAAATCAACTCTCGGTGGGCTATAAACAAAGCACGCAAATATAGGGGTGGGAGGGAATCTTGCAGTGAACAGCATTCTTCTGATAAACAACAGCCGATTTCTGCTTAATGACAATTCAAGACCTAATCATTCTTTAATGGGGCCTCCAAATTCTTCAGCTTTATCTATCTCCAGCTTGTCTATCTCTTCATGACGTTTGAGGTTCTCCACGTAGGGAGCCCTGCCATAAAGTTAGCAGCCCTTGCTTCTCCTTGTGGCAATGAATTCCACAGACTTGTGTGTGAAATTGTGCTTTTATTACCCTTAGTCTCCTCCTCTGGGCTGTCCCTGCAGGGGTGGGGAGATGGGAAAATCAGAGAAAGGAGCCGTCGGGCCTGCAGCCATCTCTGTTTGATCTTTGGCCTGCCACAATTTACTCTGCATTTTCTACGGTGGGAAAATGGGAGTTGGGGATTGTAGATGATGTGTAGCCATAACAACATTCTTTCTAGAAAGCCAAGGTCATCCTTTGTCTCTGCACCTGACCGGAACTGGATGGGTGGAAGCTGCCAGTATGACAGCAGGAGATTGGACCACGGGATGGACTTGTGGGTGTGGGGGCAGGATCTTGAACTTTCAACTGGGTGGAGAAAACCGGGAAGCCTTCAGATTCGGGCATTCCCAGATGTGCCAAAATGACTCTCTTAATAAATTGGAACTTTGAGCAATACATTGCCTT